TGTGGCCCTGAAGGGCGACCTAGGGTTGGGACGCCCGCTGGGTGGTTGTGGAAAGTGGGGCGTGGAGTGTGGAGTTGCGGCTGCGCTCCTGGATGGGGCATGGTGTCCTGTGGAGTTTAGCGTGCCTGAGTGGAGGATTGTCTGCTTGTGTGTGCAGAACCGGTGGCTGCAGGTTCGCGAGGTGATGGGTCGTGGTTACATGTGAAGATGGTGTGCAGAGTTCGGGCTGCGCTGCGGGAGGTATGCCTGTCGGGTTGTGTCCTTCGTGCATTGTTCAGGGTGTTCAAAGTGCGCCCAGTGCTGAGTGCGCCCCGAAATCAGTTGCAGCTGCTCTGGCTGCTACCTGAAGGGCCTGGTGCCCGAGGGCTACCCAGATATATTGGGCAGTGTGTCTGTTTCCTCACACCTCTGAACTTCCCATCCTCATCATGTAGGAGGAGCCCCCAATTAGCACCCTGTACAGAACAGGAGCCTCCCCTGATGCGCCTACCTGCTCCTCCTAGATCGTGGGAAACCCTCCATTGCCTCACTGCCAGGTCAGGAGACCAAGTTCAGGGCAGGAGGCCAAGTTCAGGGCAGATGGGACGTGGGGAGGTAAGCGCTGAGCAAACCTTAGGGGAACGGACACTTCCCTTCAAAGGCCCCTTAAGATTTGCTTAGATGGGATTCTGATCCCACCCAAAGGAGGGGAGACTCCCAGCGCACCCGCTCTCCACCCGACTGGTTCTTCTTAGTGCCTGACCTCCATCTCCAGCCTGGGTTGGGGGCCTCTCCTTTTAGCCTTCAGGGCCCTGCACAGGGTAGTAATTTGGGTTTCCTGATCATCCTTCCCTTTTTTCTTGTCAAATGCTGTGACCACACCAGCCTCTCCCTCCTCAGGCCCTGCCCCGGGGTGAAGCGCTTCCGCAGCAAACTCTTCCCGGTTCCTCCGGGAGGATCTCGGGGGACACAGCCTGAGCTGCGGGAGGGGAGAGCGAGGCGGGGCGGGAAGGCGAGCTCGATTCTCAGCTGTCAGCAAAGGCAGCATTGATCTGCGGAGCGGCCCATGGGGGAGGGCAGGAGTCAGGGCTGTGGGCGGATTAGGAGGGGGCTGCCAGGACCTGGGGATCGCCAAGCTGGTCTTAGCAACCGGTCCAAACCCCAATCACCTAGTGACCCTATTCCCTCTGCCTCCTGGGGGCTGACAGGAATCTCTCCTGCTGCTCTTAGCTCTGGGTGTGTCCAGGGCCAGAACCTGGTGCTCCTGGGCAGGTTATGGCCCTGTCTGCTGACAGCCAGGGAAGGTTTCATAGACCCTACTGTGGATGCAATGCCCAGGCTAGGTTGAGTCATCCCCTATTAAGTTGAAGCCAGCACTCCCACCCCCACCCAACACACACAGGCCACAGATATGTGGCACTGCCTCCCCTGACTCTGTGTACAACTGTGTCCATCAGGAGCCCAGGAGATGGGACTCAGGTCTGGTTGTGAATGGTGCAAAGGAAAGCAGCTGCCAAAGGCCTGGGGTCTTTTGAGACTCTTTAGTGACAGAAATGGAACTTGAATTCAGGTTGCCCTTATCAGCATCCAGAATATCTAAAATTGGGTCTGTTCTGGGAAGTCTGATCCTGTCGAGCTCAGCATCACCTCTGAACCCTGTGCTCTCTTCCCAAAGAGAACAATATATGTCCTTTCCCCTCATATGGAGCCCTCCCTGCAGGGAGAGGGTCTTTCATCATGTTTCCCAACTTTGAGTTCCAGATTACTCTCTCAAAGGCAGCAGGAAGAAGAGACTAAAGTCTCAGCTAGAGGGATGGAAGTTAGATCTTAGGAGGTACCTCCAGAGGGCACTGAGGCCTGCTTCTCCTGCAGGTGCACTTGTAATAGAGGAACAGGTCCACTCTTACTCAAAAGGGAGAGACTTGAACCCTTCATAAGAGATGGAAGGGATGGGGGAGATGGTTCTAGGAGACACTAGCACAGTTTAGTTAGTGTGTGTGCATGAGAAAGCGGAGGAGGCAGAGGAAAAAGTCCACTTTAGAGAGGACAGGTGGCCACTGTGAGTGTCATCCAGTGGCCTTCCTGCCCCCATCCGGATTCACAGGACATGACTGGGAGGATGGACTTTCCCCATGGCAGCCTCAAGTGACTAAGACACTTTTCTGAGCAAACAGCTGTCCCAGGCTCCCTCAGTTGGCCTCTGCTGGAGGGAGGCAGAGTATGCTGTGGTTTCCCACAGTCCTTCCTCCCCTCTCCCACCTGTTCCCTTGACCCACCCTCAAGGCCATGTCCCTCCCTGGTAACACTATCCAAACTTCTCTGCTCTGCACAGACTCACTGTCCCACCTGCATAGTCCCTCCCCTGCTGTGGGCTTCAGTTTTTCCATCTGTACAAGAAAGGGGCAGAATCCTTGATCTAATTCATCATCGTCCTCATCATGTTTCAAGAGCAAGTATTGATTGAGAGGGAGGGCAGGGAGAGAGAGTGCTCCCATTTTCAACTGTGTGCCACGGCCCTGTCCCTTGTGGGACCTAGGGCAGTCCTTTGCATGTGAAAAAGCTGAGGCTCAGAGAGGTTCGGGGACTCACCTAAGGATACTCAGCCAGTCAGTGACCCCACAACTGTCTGTGACCTGTGCTTCCCTGTGACTGGCATGTAACTACTGAGCCTGAGTGTTGGGGTCAGTGTTGGGACTGAAGGAACCATACATGGTCAACCCTTGTACTCCAGGACTCAGTCCTGCCAGAGGGTAAGACTCCCAGGTCTGAAAGGATTGAGATCTGGAAGTAGATGGGACCTCAGTCCCTGGAGCACTATTCAATCCTTTTATTGACTTCCACTGTGACCTCAGGTCATTCAAGGGCTCAAATTCCTTCCCTGGAGTGGGTAGGGGTGATTTCAGCAGGGGTTCTCAGACTTCACCAGCAATGGAATGCTTCTTACAGACAGAATCACAAGGGAGCTCCCAAGTGTGTCAAGGCATTCCCACAGAGGCACTCGTTGAGGTGAGGGGGTCTAGGTTCTAGCCTGCTGCCTTCTCCTCCTCCTCCATCCTATACCCCAGGACCACCCTTATATCTCTAAGGGTCACTAGAGGTCCTAAGTCTTCACTAGCAATGGCAGAGCCTTGTAGGCGGAGGGCTTGGAGAAGAAATACAACCAGCAATGCCTGTGGCTACCATCAGTGAAGCCATGCTAAATGCTAAGCCTCCTGCAGGGGGGTGGACCTGCTTAGTCTTTTCCAGCATTCCAACAACGCTGTGGGTTCACACGGTTCACATAGCATTTTACAGTCAAGAAGACTGAATGAAGCTCAGGGAAGAGACTTGTCTAGTCCAGCTCTTGACCCCTGCACTGCAGCGTGTGTGGGTGTGGGGTACTGGGATGGGGAGGATGTTTGAGGTCATAAGAGAGGAAGAACAAGCATGGCCAGGGGCATGCAAGAGGCCTTGAATGCCAGGCTAAAGGGTCCGATTTGACCAGATAGGAAAAAGGAAGCATGGGCAGGGCCTGAGCCTGAGTATGCTACAATGACTGAGGCTCCCCAGAAGCAAACCCAGGAGTGGTGGGGCAGGAGGCACTGGCATGAAGAGAAGTTTAGCAGTGCCAGGGGCAGAAAGAGCCCTGAACCACAAGCCACAGCTTGGCTTCCAATCCTGGCTGGCAGGAGGGCTGAATGTAATAATGCATGAAAAAGTCACAGATCATGCCGGTGGGTGTACAAATGTGAACCATTCTGTCTACTGCTCTTCAAGTGAGCATTGGTACGGGTATGCTCTTGAGGTGATGGCATCACATTGTTGCCTTTGAGAATCCTCCTCCTCAGAGAGCAGGAGCGGGTGTGAGAAAGAAGGCCTCCTTCCTTTTCCCTAAGCAGTCCAGAAAGGACAAGAGATTTGGACTGCCCAGTGGATGAGAGGGCTGAAGGGTCCCCGGATGTGAGTGTGCCACTGACCTGCTTCCAGCCTAACCAAGCTGGCCTGGCCAGTCTGCTCAGTCACAGGAAGTGAAGAGGTCGCAGTGTCGCTGAGCTCAGCGAAAGTTGACCCCCATTGATCTTGAAGGGTTGGAGGGGTCCCACCAGGAGGAGTCAGAGGGAAAGGGATGTGTGGAAATGAAAGTCAGAGCTGTGCCTTTTTGGACACTCTTCCTTTTTGGTCACATTCTTGCCCCTTAATCCTACTCCTAGAGACTGTGCTGAAGGCTTCAGTACTATGGTCCTGCTGGT